CATTTAGCGTTTGAATCTGCTCCCAGCCCCCGATCTCCTCGCCCCCTTTCTAGTCCTACAGAATGCGGATCTCAGGCAGAGGGTAATTCCTGAGCATGGGCTTCCAGAAGCCTTTGTTTTGTTGTTTTATTTGATCCCGACAGCCATGGAATGCTGTCCCTATCAATGCCATAGGCCCGTAGCCCTGCACATCTGCCAGGAAGTTCTGTGCATGTTTATGTCATCACACGTGGCCTTTCTCAGTTTCTCAGGAACAGGTTTGATATTGTCAGCTGAAAATCTCCAGGAGACTGAACTACATAAATCAGAAGGAACAACAGCAATCCCCAAGTCCCCTGAACCTCTTTCATGTTCACAGAATTCTGAAAGTGGATATATAAATGTGACTTCTCTAAAAGGGACATACAACATGCAAGGGGACCAAAAGCTGGGACTGTGACATCACTGCTGTCTAAAACAATGCTAACTGAACCTAGTAACTCAGACCATGGATGGAAAGACGCAAACTGACCTGGAGAGGTCTCACAGAACACCCTGGAAGGCAGCAAGGAGTCTCCAAAATCACTGACTAAACAGTCATTAAAAGCTTTCTAAAGATGGAGTTGTTGTTTGTTTGATAGACCCATTAATAATGATTTTTTTTGTTTTATTTTCTGTGTACTGATGTTTGTCTGCATGTGTCTGTCTACTACATGCATGAACGGCCAGAAAGGGCATTGGTTCCCCTGAGACTGGAGTTGCAGACAGCTGTGAACTGTCATGTGGGTGCTGCGAATTGAACCCCAGCCCTCTGCAAGAACAAGCGTTCAAAACCACTGTAACATCTCTCCAGCCCTACGAAACTCATTTTTAAAAATAACTTTAATAGGGCTGGAGCAATGACTCAGAGGTTAAGAGTGCTGATTGTACTTCCAGGGGTCCTGAGTTCAATTCCCAGCAACCACATGGTGACTCACAACCATTAATAATGAGACATGGGGTCCTCTTCTGGCCTGCATGGATAAGTGCAGAGAGAACTTTGTATACATAATAAATTTAAAAAACTTATTTAAAAAAATAACTTTAATAATCCTCCACCAGACAAGATTAATGTCTATTAAGCATGGCAGGGGAGGGACTAGCACTAGTGAGTAAATTCACTGTTTAGACCATACCAAAGTAAAGCTTACTACTTTACAAGAGGCAGTGGGGTGGACACTAAGAGAAACACACTTGTTGTAACGGCATAGACGAATGCAGACAGATTGTAAAAATATATATACAGCTTTAATGGCGAAATAGACTTACAGAACCACCATTCCTGGGAGACCAGGAAAGCAGAAGAGATGGGAGCACGCTTGCCAAATTTATAGGCAAACATTAGCCCGAGGCGAACACGCCCCCAAGGGGCGGGACTTATCCCTACAACTTGTAACTTAACCATTCTTATCAAAACACATTTCATTTTGGAGTTAATCGCTTATTGTCCTTTTTCAAATACATTTTTGTTTGGGGGCTTTTGAGACGTCATCTCCTGTGGCCCAGCTGAGCCTCGAATTTGATGGGCCAGAAGATGACCCTGAACTCCTACTCTTCCTCCCTCTACCTCCCAAATACCAGGATTGCAAGCACACTCTACCACACCCTGCTAATACATGGATTTTTATTTTAAGTTTTCATTAGATCTTCGAGAACTCCATCTAGTGTCTTTTGAGTATAATCAACCCCTCTCCCAATTTCTCCCAGAGCCACACCCCTACCCTATGTACCCAACTCGATGTTTTTGGTTTTTTTTTTAGACCAGGCCGGCCTCGAACTCACAGAGATCTGCCTGCCTCTGCCTCCTGAGTGCTGGGATTAAAGGCGCGAAGGTACGTGCCACCACCGCCCGGCCTTGATTTTTTTTTTTTTTTTGGTTTTTCGAGACAGGGTTTCTCTGTGGCTTTGGAGCCTGTCCTGAAACTAGCTCTGTAGACCAGGCTGGCCTCGAACTCACAGAGATCCGCTTGCCTCTGCCTCCTAAGGGCTGGGATTAAAGGCACGTGCCACCCCCGCCCAGCCAATGTTCTTTTTTTTTTTCTAAAATATTTAGAAATTATTATTATGTATACAATATTCTGTCTGTCTGCAGGCCAGAAGAGGGCACCAGACCTCATTACAGATGGTTGTGAGCCACCATGTGGTTGCTGGGAATTGAACTCAGGACCTTTGGAAGAGCAGGCAATGCTCTTAACCACTGAGCCATCTCTCCAGCTCCCAATGTTCTTTTTTTAAAGCTCATCAAGACCAGTTTTTGCTGCTCATATGGTCTTGGCTGTGTGGCCTTCCAATGAAGCATGGACGACTTAGCAGTTGCTAAGACTTATTAAAGAAAACTGATTCCTCCCTCTCCCAGCAGCTATTGATTGACAATAGTTCCTTGAAATAAGTATTTTTAAAAACAGCCATTATCATATTATACATTCATTTTAATACAGTGTGTGTGTGTGTATGTCCATGTAGAGGTGAGGATTCAACACTGAATACCTTCCTCCATCTCTGCAGTTTTTACAATTAGTATTTCTGTGTAAGTGTGTGTGTGCGCGCGCGCGCGCGCGCATACGTATGCAAGCACTGAGGCCAGAGTCTTCCTCTATTATTTACCACCTATTACTTTGAGGCACAAGCTCTCCTTGTAATGGATAATTAAAAATGCAGGATCCCCCGTGGCAGCAGGCAACAGAAATGCTGCAGGTCCCTGAGCTGTGACCGGTCCCAGGCAGGGCTACACGAGACCATGCCGCAGGTGGCTGGTTCTGGGCTGTGAGCCACCAGCAGCAAGAGACAGACGATAGGCAGGCCCTGCAGAGTGAAGACCAGCCTGTCTCAGCGGATGGGGGAGGGAGTGGGCGTGGCTTGTCTCTTAAAGAGACAGAACAATCTTTACACTCCTTGAACCTGGGGTTCACATTTTCTCAACTAGGTTGGAAGCCACTAAGCCATCGAACATCTTATCTCCACCCTCCTTGGAGATTACAGGTATGTGCAGGATACCCAATTTATCACATGGGTGCTGGGATGCTCTGGACCTTGTAAGCATTGTGGCTCAGATGGGTAGGGATCCTGGCAGTCGGGATTCAAGAAATAGTGAGCGAGCCAGGCGATGGTGGCACATGCCTTTAATCCCAGCACTCGGGAGGCAGAGGCAGGCGGATCTCTGTGAGTTCGAGACCAGCCTGGTCTACAGAGCTAGTTCCAGGACAGGCTCGAAAGCCACAGAGAAACCCTGTCTCGAAAAACCAAAAAAAAATTAAAAAAAAAAAAAGAAAGAAATACGGAGCATTACAGCTTGGGTAGAAGAGTATTCGGGCAATCAGAGGCCAGGGAATAGCGGTAGCAGCTGACAGCCCTGCTCTAAGGAAAGGTTTCCCCAATGTAACAACTGTTGCCGCTGGAGAGGGCTTCCCGAGCCAAGTTGTTACAGTTTGGCTCCAGTGCTCAGGGGTGTAGCAACTCTGCTCTGCTAGGGGTAGGGTTCCCCAGGAAAAGGGTTACAGCCCTGTTCCGCTCAGCTCCTGTCTCTGACTTCCCACGCAAAGTTGTAACAACTCGCAGCTGCTAGGGGAAGACCCCCGAGAGAAAGTGTTAACAATCCCACTCTGCTCAGCTGGCTCCGTCTGCTTGGTCTGCTCCGTCTCTGCTCTGGGAAAAGGTCTTCACCCAAACCTCCTGCAAGAGATTCACTGGGAGGGAAGAATCCAGGAGAGTGGTTGCCTCTACCAGGGTGGAAGAGGAGCCGCTGCAAACTGAACAGGTGCAGGACTTATCTAGATATGACTTCTTGGGATGGGGGTCGGGGGAGCCAAACTGTGTTTTCTTCACTGGCCTTTCTAAGCTTTTTGGCTCTAGTTTGGGGGCCAAGGCATATTTCTTTCACTGACTCTGATTCTAGGGTCAAAGTGTGTTTCTTTGGCACTGGTTTCAGAGTCACGGTGTATTTCTTTGGTTCTGGGTTTGGGGCTAAAATATTTCTTTCACTGGCTCGGGTCTCAGAACCATGGTGTATTTCTTTCGCTGGAGCCCCGGGGGGTTTCTTTGACTGCCCCTTTTCTCCTACAGACGTCCTAAACCATCTGTTCAGCCCTAATTCCAAAAGGATATGGCAAACCATGTATGTAATACCAACATTTGGGAGGCTGAGGTAGGAAGATGGTGCGTTTGAAGTCAGCCGGTGAAACACAGCAAGACTGTCTAAAAATAAAAACATAAGGTGAAAAAAAACATTTCAGAAAAGACCTCAAGGCCCTAAAGGACATAGCAATCTAATGTCCTCCGCAACAGAGGCAGAAAGGCTAGGCATTTCATCCTTGTGTCCAGTAAATGGCTAACATTCCTGTTCGGTAATTGAGGAGAGTGGTGTGAGAGGAGGCTAGGAAGTAGGGGGCAGGGGAGGGGTCTCTACTTCCGGGCCTTAGCTACCAGCGGTGGCAACTAGGTGCCCTTTAGAGCTTCGCATAAACAACTGCATTTATTTTAAATATGCCAAGCCCCGCACGATTTACAAGCACAAAGGTGAGGGAAATGAGCTGGAAGCTTGAGGCAGAAATTAAATTACATTTCCAGCATCGGGAATGAGCCAACCTACATATCAGACCAATTTAAAACATGGAGGGCGACAACCCGGAGGGTCCTCCTCTCGTGGGTGCCCCTTCAGGGAACTGGGGGGGGGGGGGGGGACAACGACACACCAAGTGTGACGGTTCAGCAAATGCTGCCTACAGGAGATTCATTTGTTGCACTAATACAATCAGGCGAGCGGGGAGCCCGTCGCCTTTGGCAAAGATGCCTGCGCTTCCTTGCTTCTGCATCTTCTCCCTTCATCCCCGCCTTCCCTCAGCGTGGACCTGCCGGCCCGCTACGTCGCACGCTTTGCTTCCCAAGCTCCCGGCAGCCCGCCCCGCACTTCCGGGGGCGGAGCCCAACCACCATCGGTTTCCCCTGCACCTGAGTTTTGGATGAATTCCGCCAGACTGGTCGCCGGAAGCTGATCTTCTCCTTCCGGGTCGGGGCCATGGCGGTGGCAAATTCAAGTCCAGTCAATCCGGTGGTCTTCTTTGATGTCAGCATTGGCGGCCAGGTGAGGTGCGGGCAGCCCAGCGGACCTGCGCGGGCGGGCAGGCACGGGTGAGGGAGGCGGCTGAGGGGGCCCTTCTAGCTCTCCCGAGACAGGCTGGGCCAGGGTGGCGGAGGTGGGAGCTTCTGAGCTGCGTGGGCAGCGGCCGTGGGCGCTGAGCCTTGCGTCTCCCGTCCCTTGCAGGAAGTTGGTCGCATGAAGATCGAGCTGTTTGCAGACGTGGTGCCTAAGACGGCAGAGAACTTTAGGTAAGGAGATGCTCCAACTGAACCAGAGTAGCTGAGTCCGAAGCTGGCCTTTGCAATGTCTGACCCTGTCCATTCCTTCACTGCCTTGGGAGCTCTGTGTTCTGGGTATTACCCTGGCTGGATAGCTACCGGGTTTGACCGTTCTCGTGTCAGTTTCTGTTACTAGACTACATACCTGCATGCCTTGCCATTTGGCCGACTTGGTGGCCCCACTGTTGGTACTCTCCTCTCCTGAGATTAGAGGTGCGTCAAGCAGTGATGGCCTGGTGACTGAATCGTTCGTTCACCCTTTCTTTCCTTTTAGGCAATTCTGCACTGGAGAGTTCAGGTCAGTCTCGGATGTGTTTGACCTTTCCCCTTACTCCTGGGGGTTTGGTGAGGGTATTGGGGAACCATGGGCAAATCTTGAGCGATGGAAGATGATATTCAGAGGGTGTCTCCATTATTGATGTGTTCTTTAGCTCAGTTCTATCCAGTTCTTTATGAGAGTCCTCTCAGCTTCCAGTGTGTCCTAAACGGGAAGGACCCCTCATCACTCCAAGCCTCCTTCTTTTTGGTTACAGGAAAGATGGTGTTCCGATCGGATACAAAGGAAGCACCTTCCATAGGTAAGACTTTGGGCCTGCAGGAAATGCAGTCATCGTTTGGTATCTATACAGGCAATCCTGTACACCTGAGAACAAAACCTATGTGTGGTTGTTGTTTAAAGTGTCCGTGTTCAGGGCTGAGGATAGAGCTGGGCAGAGAATTTGCCCAGCATGCGTGAGGCCCTGGGCTCAGCACTCAGCACCAGATAGCCGGGGCACAGCTCCCTTTGCACCTTAAGTCACCCACGCCGGCTCTGTGTAATACCATACTGAAGAAATGATGGCAAGGAAGACACTGTATCAGTTTGGTTACAGGTATGCTTCTGTATGCTTCCCTACCCAGCTTTTTTGTGGGGTCTGGTCCTCATATCGAGGACTTTATGCACTGAACCATCTCCCTTGCTCCAGGTTATGATTTTAGTAGAGGCTTTTGTAATAATTACTGTTATCAGGAAGTCGTCTGTAGGAACCTGACCTTTATGAGCACCTGGCTTTCTGTATTTACTTGTTTTTGTTAGGGTTTGATAGAAGTTGTACCACTTTAATCCTGAAATTTTTTCATGTCCTCCTTATCAGGGGCGTTAGAGCTGTGGTCATTAATCCTCCTGGCATTCTTGTGAGGTAGTATGTGTTACCCACATTCTTTATGGAAGGAAACTGAGGCCGAGAAAGGCTAAGGACTACATCTGGGTATAATAGCTTACGTTACCCTGTGTGTGTAGCGGTCCATTGCACATGTAGTTGCTAGTGTTCTTTTCCCCCAGATTTGCATTGAGCCCTTGACATGTTTTTCTTTTGGCGAATATGTTCTTTCTTCCTGCCAAGTTTCAGCCCCTTCCTACTGTTCAGGTGGGTGACTCATACACCCAGATCAACCCAGAGATGCCCCTGAAGTTGAACTTTTTATGTTAGTAATCCCTCGGCTTGCTCACTCCAGGGGTGAAGACTCATTCTCCGTGCCACCGTGGTAAACGCTGTACTTCAGACAAACTACTAATCAACCATGCCAGTGACTAAACCACTGAATCCTTCCCTCCGGACTTTCTTTTTATTCTGTTTCAGGGTCATAAAGGATTTCATGATTCAGGGTGGAGATTTTGTTAATGTGAGTACTGCTTCTTTGCTTGGCTCTTCTTCCTGTCAGTCCCCAGTCTTGAGATCTAAGAATACTGCTAAGTTAAGTGGAGAGAGCGTAGATGTGGGATGTGCTATAGAATTGCTGGCTACCGCTGTCTTTGTCCTCAGAACACCGTATCATTACCAAACTTGAATCGCTAAGTTCCATTGTCCAAACGTGAGCCTTTTGTAAGCAGAAATTGGACTTTGCTAGGATACCTAAAGATGATCCGAGGTAGTCCACATACATTGTTCACAGAAAACTTTAAAATTAGCTGCAAATTTTTTCCCCCAAAAGAAAGTGAGCGGGCTGTTTATGTCCCCTATTTTTCCTTCCACTTCCGGTGTCACTGTCTAAAATTCTAGTTTTTTGTTTGCTTTTTGTGGGTCTTCCTTTCTTTTTTCCTTTCGAAAGCTGAGGTTTTAGCCACAAGCCAGTTGGTGGCAAGGGATCCGATCAGGAAAGGCAGTGGTTCGAAGGGGCTTTGTTCCGCTTGCTGAGGTATCCCTGGGATCTCCGTCCTTCGCTGCTGACCATGACTTTTTGCGTCCACACTATTTGTGTCCCCATCCCAACTTTGGGGTGTGCCCAATAAGCTAGGATTTTTTCTTTCTTACACTGCTTTTCCCTTAGCCGCCCACTTCTGCGCATGCTGTTTCTTACTGTCAGTATTGCGTAGTTGGGTATGGTGCCAACTCCGTGTGTCTGGGAAACGTAAGTGTAAGTTTAGATTCCTGGGGTAACATAGGATCTTACTCCCCCACGGAGGGTAGCATAGGATCCTACTCCCCCTTCGTAGGGTAGCATAGGATCCTACTCCCCCTTCGTAGGGTAGCATAGGATCTTACTCCCCCTTCGTAGGGTAACATAGGATCTTACTCCCCCTTCGTAGGGTAACATAGGATCTTACTCCCCCTTCGTAGGGTAACATAGGATCTTACTCCCCCTTCGTAGGGTAGCATAGGATCCTACTCCCCCTTCGTAGGGTAGCATAGGATCCTACTCCCCCTTCGTAGGGTAACATAGGATCTTACTCCCCCTTCGTAGGGTAGCATAGGATCTTACTCCCCCTTCGTAGGGTAGCATAGGATCCTACTTCCCCTTCGTAGGGTAGCATAGGATCCTACTCCCCCTTCGTAGGGTAGCATAGGATCCTACTCCCCCTTCGTAGGGTAGCAATGGAAGTTTTAGGCCTCATGCTGCTGTCACTGTGCTGTGGTTGTGCTGTGACTGTAGTTCTATAAAACTGGGAAATCTGGGAGACTGGAGAGGGAGCTCAGCAGGGCAGAGCACCTACTGTTCTTCCAAAGGACTTGAGTCCCTGTCTCATCATTGTCTGCAACTCCATTTCCCGAGTATCTGACACTTCTGGCCTCTGTGGGTACCTAAACTTACATGCATGTACCCATACCACACATTCAACAATCACATAATTAAAAATAATACAAATAAACCATTTTTTAAAACTGGGAAATTTGGGAACCAGAGAGATGGTTCAGAGATTAAGAGCCCTGGTGGCTCTTCCAGAGGACACAGTTTTGATTCCTAGCACCTACATGGTAGCTCATAGCCACCTATAACTCCAGCTCTATGAATGTGAAAAAAGAATAAGAAGGGTTTATCGAAGGGTCTGTAGGGAGGAAAGGGAAGAGGAAATGATGTGATTATCTCAAATTTTAAAATATTTTATAAAAATAAATCTTTTTTGTTTCTTTGTTTTTATTTTGTCTAGACAGGATTTCTCTGTGGCTTTGGAGCCTGTCCTGGAACTAGCTTTTGTAGACCAGGCTGGCCTAGAACTCACAGAGATCCACCTGCCTCTGTCTCCCCTGAGTGCTGGTATTAAAGTTGTCTGCCACCACCACTGCCTGGCTAATAATAAATCTTTTTTTTTTTTCCTTTTTTTTCTTGTGATATTTGAGACAGGGTTTCTCCGTAGCTTTTGGTTCCTGTCCTGGAACTAGCTCTTGTAGACCAGGCTGGCCTCGAACTCACAGAGATCCTCCTGCCTCTGCCTCCCGAGTGCTGGGATTAAAGGCGTGCGCCACCACCACCCGGCAATAATAAATCTTAAAGAGATAAAGAAGCTAGACTTTAAGTGCAACAGTGTTTCTTCTCTTCGCCCATCCAATTAGTGGGCATGAAGGTGTGCAAGCCTGTGGATATGTGTGTGTACACCAGAAGCCACACAAGTGAGCAAGTCTGTGGATGTGTGCATGTGTGCATGTGCTCACATGCACACAGGTATGCAAGCCTGTGGGTGTAGAGCCCAGAGGAAGACATTAGGTATTCCCTGTCAGTCACTTATTGCCTTAAGGAAAGGTCTCAGTAGATCATTTGCTGCTTGGTTCAGTGAGAGTAGCTGACTGGCTAGCTCATGGTATCTGCCTTTCTCTGCATGTTAATTCTGGAGGCATGTACAGCCATGCCTGGCTTTCTTTTTTTTTTTCCTTTTTCTTCTTAATGTGTGTGCTAACGATTTGAACTCAGGTCCTCATGATTGGATAGCAGCCAGCTTTTATCTACTGAGCCATTCTCCCCAGCCCTGTGAGTGTTCCTCCTCTGGTTTCAAGGGTGCCGAACACTCGAGACCACTAACATATGTCTGCTTTGTTTAGGGAGATGGTACTGGAGTCGCTAGCATTTACCGCGGTCCATTTGCAGATGAAAATTTTAAACTTAGACACTCGGCTCCAGGCCTGCTTTCCATGGTAAGTGAGGTTCAGTTAAGATTTGGGGTTGGAGGAAGAGCAGATTTCTGGTGCCTTGTTGAGGTCCAGCCGTCTCTTGGAATCAGAGCAGATGCTTCTCTTAATTCAATCAGAACTCACCTGCATCTACGCCCTCCTTCCTTGGTTGGGTTTGATGTTGTTGGCTGGGGTCTTGCAGCTGTAGAATGGAACCGAGCTCTGACTTGTGTTGTTGCCTTTATTAATACGAAGACGTGTGGATGGGCTTTAGCGTTAGTGTTCAGTGGCTTCCAAGACTGGTGCTCACCTGCTTGTTGCCCTGGTTGCTGTGATGCACTCACTGCAGTAGCTGCATGCTGGCCACTCTCCTGCTTCCCTCCCTCTCCATGCAGTTCCTTCCTAGTCCCATGTGCTGCTCTCTCTCCCCCATTCCTAATCCCTGCTCAGACTCCCTTGTACCTTTATCTAACTCAGCTCTGCTCGCTGCTTGCCCCTTCACATTGCTCGCCCTCACTCCTCCTTTCCATTATTCCCCTCTTTTCTCCCTCACCTCCCACTCCTCGCAGTCCCACCATCAGCGCTCTAGTCCTCACCTCCTGGTGCCGGTGTCTGTGTGTACATCCTCTGTCCTGCCTGCCTGCTCTTCACTCTTCTTCCCCGGCATTTATGAGAATTTGTGAAAATTGATGAAAATTTGTACACAGCCATTCCATTCAAGTCTCAGGGCAAAGCACAAGGACACAAACATGACCCCTGCCATTGTCACATGTAACGTCTAACCCAAATTTGGTACCCAGCACCCGCATCAGGCAGCTGACAACTGTCCGCAACCACAGGTCTTGGGGATCCTTCATGAATATGGTGTACATAAAATTATAGTGGGAATGCATAATACAAGTAAATTTTTTTATATTTATTTATTTACTTTTTATTATGTATACAATATTCTGTCTGTGTGTATGCCTGCAGGCCAGAGGAGGGCACTAGACCCCATTACAGATGGTTGTGAGCCACCATGTGGTTGCTGGGAATTGAACTCAGGACCTTTGGAAGAGCAGGCAATGCTCTTAACCTCTGAGCCATCTCTCCAGCCCCAATACAAGTAAATTTTAACACATTGCAAAACCACTTCAAACAGCCGATTTCATAGGCAGTGTGTCTTTTCTTAGCTACTAACCAATTTGTAAGTATAACCCAGTTGTAACTAATTTGCAGCTAAACACACTAAGTTAAGTCCTATAAGAAGGGAAAGGGGGATATAGTAAGATAGCTCAGCAAGTAAAGACAAGGGATAAAGACACCTGCTGCACATGCCTGAGTTCAATCCTAGCCCCATGTCGAGGTGGAAGTAGAGAACTAACTCCACAAATCTATTCTCTGACCTCATAAACATGTACACGCATGCACACACACACAATTTTTTTTTAAATTTAAAAGAAAGGAGCACTGTGACGCAAAATAAATTTTTCCTCCATTAAAAAAATAATAAATAAAAGAAAGGAGCAGAAGGGAACCCATTAGAGAAAAAGTAAGGGAACCAGTTGAGAGATGAGAGGATGTAGGGGAAGAGAATAAGAACAGAGTATAATAAATGTAGATATGAAAATGCCATAATTAAAGCATTACTTTGTATGCTAACCTAAAACTTAGTTAAATCTTGTATTTGCTTGTTTTAAATGAGCAGTCATTCCCATTACAAAACCTCACAGTAGGGACTCATCAGGTAAAGATGCTTACCATCAACTCGGATGGCCTGAGTTCAGTCCCCAGGACCCATGTGATGGAAAGAGAGGCCTGACTCCTACAGAACCTGACAAGGAAATTGTTCGTTGATTGAAGAACTTAGATCATCAGGGATGGATCCTCTGTGTCCTGTTTGTCTGTCTGTCCTTAGCTAGACCTGAGCTTATAATAGGTGCTCAGTTGGGTTGCATTTAGAGCTGTGTATTCTAGGAAATCTTGCCCTTCACCCAATACAGCCAGAGAAACTTACTGCGGGTACGTTTGGTTCTCATCAGGCAAACAGTGGTCCCAGTACAAACGGCTGCCAGTTCTTTATCACATGTTCTAAGTGTGATTGGCTGGATGGGAAGCACGTAGTGTTTGGTAAGTCTTGTCCCAGTCATCTGTCTGCCACATTTTCCACACTAACTAAGGGTGCTCAGCTGCTTGGCTGGGCTAGGCCGGGGCTGATGGCCAATGGACATGGTGGGGGTGGCTGTGGCCAATGGACGTGGTGGGGGTGGCTGGGGCCAATGGACGTGGTGGGGGTGGCTGGGGGCAATGGACATGGTGGGGGTGGCTAGGGGCAATGGACATGGTGGGGGTGGCTGGGGGCAATGGACATGGTGGGGGTGGCTGGGGGCAATGGACATGGTGGGGGTGGCTGGGGCCGATGGACATGGTGGGGGTGGCTAGGGGCAATGGACATGGTGGGGGTGGCTGGGGCCAATGGACATGGTGGGGTGGCTATGGCCAATGGACATGGTGGGGGTGGCTGGGGCTGATGGACATGGTGGGGGTGGCTAGGGGCAATGGACATGGTGGGGATGGCTGGGGCTGATGGACATGGTGGGGGTGGCTAGGGGCAATGGACATGGTGGGGATGGCTGGGGCTGATGGACATGGTGGGGGTGGCTAGGGGCAATGGACATGGTGGGGGTGGCTGGGGCTGATGGACATGGTGTGGATGGCTGGGGCTGATGGACATGGTGGGGGTGGCTAGGGGCAATGGACGTGGTGGGGATGGCTGGGGTTGATGGACGTGGGGCTTGACTGGAACTCATGGAAAAGACAAGGGTATTCCAATCAATACTCATGAAATAAATAATGAAGAAATGCCCCAGAGATAGCATGGATGAGTGTGGTTCTGGGGTCACGCAGACCCAGTCCTCTATCCTGGTTTCCTGCATATATTCCTATGACTTCAGGCAAGTCAGCTTGCCTCATTGAACTCAGTTTCCTTACGTTGTAAGAGGGTTTGGGATGCCTACTGAGAATGGGAGCTGGGTGCAGTACCAGCACTGAGAAAGAAACCTTAACTTGATGTTCTTCCTGCAGGAAAAATCATTGATGGACTTCTGGTGATGAGAAAAATCGAGGTTGGTCCTGCTGGGTGTCCCTGCAGCCTTTCTGATGGGTGCCTTCTGCCTGCTAATGAGGGGCTAGAGAAGGTGACGGGCTCCAGTTCCTAGGTAGACTTGTCACTGTCTGCAGTCACGGCCTCCCCTTCCTTGGGGAAGACAGGAGAGCTCTAGCCTTCTTGGCTCCGTTCATTATCCTGCCCAGTACATCCTAGGGTTTGGCCTCTCATCCTGATGCCCACTTGATAAAATTCCACTTCTTGGCATTGCATTCAGGATCCTGAATCATGACCTGTACCCTGCCCATCCCTCCATGACCCCTTCTGCCACTGCCTTCTCTTCTCTGGTCCAGTGGCATCAAACTCCTGGCTCTTCTTTAAGGAGGTTGACCATAACAGGTGCGTGCCTCCTGCTCCTCCCAGCCCCAAGCTTTGACTCCGTTCCTCCTCTCTTCCTGAAGAGTTCCTTCTTTGGGATCTTATCTACCCCTTATGGCTCAGTTCAGATCACCCTCTTCTGTGACTCCTCCATAAGCTGGGTCCCTGCTCAGTGCTCTTTTGACTTGCTACATTGTTAGGTTGTGGAGCTGAGGCCTCTGAATGTTACTTTTCTATTGGGTCTTTTATACTTTAATGTCTGTCAGTCTGATCCTGGGCCCTGGCTTAGGGGATGGGGATCTGTTAGACTTTCTGTCTGTCAGGATGCACGCCGCATCAGTCTGATCTTGGGCTCTTTCTTGGGGTGTAAGCAAGGCACTGAGCAGGTGCCTGACCTGAGTGCATCTCATGTTCTTATGCTTTGTTTTCTAGAATGTTCCCACGGGCCCTAACAATAAGCCCAAACTGCCAGTGGTAATCTCCCAGTGTGGGGAAATGTAATCTAGACCAAGACTGAACCAGGTAAGTGATCTCTTCTTCCAGTTAGGAAAAGGAATCATGACTTGAGGGAGACTTTCCACTCTTAGATGTGGGTTGAGTCCATCCTTCTGCATGTAAGCGTGGAGCATTCCTCAGGGCTTGTCTCCTCAGCTGTCAGAAGATGTCAGCCTGAGGGTCACTGTGAGAAGCAAAAGAGGGGACACTGGAAATACTCCTTTTCTACTGCTCATCCAGTGTCACCCTGAAAAGGACCTGACTCGCGGGTGACTGGAATCAGCCTGCTGTCCAGTCCTGGAGGTGTGGGCCTCACCTGCAGCTTTCATGGCTTACTTCCTCTTACTTGCCACTGGCTGCTCTGCACTGGGGCCTTTTGGGAAAGAACTAAAAGGCACTCCCAGGAGCGAATTCACCCTCTGAGGTGAATGCTAATGACATCAGTGGCTTGCGTGTTTGCACACGCGGAAGATGGATCGGTCCACCTCTGTGAGAGGTCGTGGTATTTTGTTGGTCTTTTCCATTTTTTTTCAAACCTACAAGAAAAATTGGAAAAATGTTGATTAATTACCCATAACCTCACAGCTAGTGATGGACATTTGCTTGTGGCTGTACTGTCCCCTCCCTCCTTTCTCATGCCACGCCCTCTCCTTCACTGTCTGATTTCTCTTCCTTTCCTGCCTTCATTGCCTTCCTTCTCATTCTAAAACTGCAGATCTGTATTGGCGTAAATAAATGCAATGCAGATATTAAAGAATATTTACCACTTTAATGATAAACTTACAGAATCTAGGTTCCCGCATTGCCCAGGAGGTAGGAAAGAAAAGGTGGAGCCGCGCGACCATTTATCTGTACGCATTCGCCCGAGGCAAACCCACCTCCTAAAGGGGCTGGCTTAACCCTACACAGATCTCTTGACACTTCACCCTCAGGTACTTCAGCAGGAGCCCCTAATAATAAGACTAAATAAACAATGACATTTGTAATATATATTCATATTCAAAATTGCCAGTTGTCTCCAAAATAACTTTTAAATCATACAGAAACTTATTTTGTGGTGCTGGGGATTTAACCAAGCTTTGTACATTCATCACCAACAGGCTGAAGAGATGGCTCAGGGGTTAAGAGGATGAGGTTAAGGACCCAGCACTCACACTAGGCAGCTGATGACTGATGGTTTAACACCACCACCGCCTGACTAAAAAAATTCCCAGCACTCAGAAGGGGTCACCATGCCACCTGTATCTCTTTCTACCGATCAGTAAAAGTCTCTGTAGCAAGATGGAGAGATGGCTTCTCTTCCAGAGGTCCTGAGTTCAATTCCCAGCAAACACATAGTGGCTCACAACCATCTGTAATTAGAGTTGGTATTCTCTTCTGTCCTGCAAGTCATCCGTGCAGGCAGAACACTCTACATAATGAATAAATAAATAAATCTTAAAAAGAGAGAGAGAGAGAAATGAAAAGAAAATGTCCCGGGCTGGAAAGGTGGCTCGGCGGTTAAGAGCACTGACTGCCGTTCAGCACGCACGCACATGGCAGCTCACAACTGTTTCTGTCTCTAAGATCTGACACCCTCACACAAACATGCATACACGCAAAATACTAATGCAAAAAAAAACAATTTAAAGAAAAGTCTCTAGTTGAGACTGGCCTCAAACCCATAATCCTCCTCCTGCCTCCCAGGTATGAGATTAGAAAGCCACCCATACTAGTTTACTTGCCTCTGCTTCCTGATTACCAGGAATATTATCACACCTAGATATGGTGGCACACACCTTTAATTCCAGCAATTCAGGAGACAGGCAGGCTGATCTCTGAGCCCAAGGCCATCCTGGTCTACAGAGCAAGTTCCAGGACTGCTAGGCAAAAATGAAAAAAATTTAGTTGGGTGCGGTAGTGCACACCTGTAACTCTGTGATCCTGGCCTGGAAGAGGTTGCCTAGAGGTGACAAGTTTGAGGACTGCTGGGTAGAAGAATGTTTTCTAGGCTAGCCTGTCAACTTTGTGACCCTGTATAAAAGAGGAACCAAGCGAAGCCTGCTCAGTGGCAGGTAAATGTGAGGGCTGCCAAGGTAGACCTGAGTTTGGGCCCTAGGACCAGCTGGAGGGAAAAGAGAACTGACTCCACAGATTTCCCTCTGACTTGTGCTTTGGCACTCACATCCGTACGTACATGCACAAAATGAGTAAATAAAGAAATGCAAACTGTTTGGCGGAGCTGGTTGTGGAGGCTTGCACTCAGGATCTTAGCATTTGGAGACTGAGGCAAGACTGCCACAAATTCACAGAGGGCCATGGTGGCAACAGCCTGGCCACCAGAATAAAGAAGGCTGGGGTGTTGCTCAAGAACACAAAGCACACACACAGGGTCTGTCCCTTCTACAGCAAAGGAAAGGAAAAATATATAAGTTCTAATTTGATGGTGTCAAGATTATTGGTCCCTTAATGACTTTCCTGCTTTGTCTTATCTAACTTTCACTACCTCCAATCATAATATCCTCTATAGTACTGTGTCTGTACCCATTGACATTTCCGTACTTTATCTGTACACTTAGAAAATTGTATCTGTTTGTTTATTGTACATAACAATGGAGGTTAAAGGACAACTTTTTAAAGTCTGTTCTCTTCTATCCTGTGGTCCCTGGGATCAAACCGAGGCTCAGCAGCAAGGGTCTTAACCCTCTGGGTCATCTCACTGGCCTGGAGTCTTGTTTGTTTGTTTGTTTAAATATTTATTTATTATGTATATGGTGTTCTGCCTGCATGTATCCCTGCAGGCCAGAAGAGAGCACCAGATCTCATTACAGATGGTTGTGAGCCGCCATGTGGTTGCTGGGACTTGAACTCTGGACCTCTGGAAGAGTAGCCAGTACCCTTAACCTCTGAGCCATCTCTTCAGCCCTCTTTTGTTTTGTTTTGTTTTGTTTTCGATATAGGGTTTCTCTGTTTAGCTTTGGAGCACGTCCTGGAACTTAACTGTAAACCGGGCTGACCTTGAACTCAGATCTACTTGCCTCTGCCTCCAGAGTGCTGGGATTAAAATAAAGGTGTACATCACTGCCATGTGACTTTTATTTAATTTATTTTTTGGTGGGGGGTGGACAAGGTTCCTCTGTAACAGCCTTGACTGCTCTAGAACTAGCTCTGGTAGACCATGCTGTCCTCGAATTTACAGAGATCCTCCTGCCTCTGCCTCCTGAGTGCTGGGATTAAAGATGTTGTGCCACCACCTCTCGGTTGAGGTGTAGCCTAGGCTGACCTCAAACTCGGGATCCTCCTGCCTCTACCTCCTTCATCTAATTCTATCGGCATGTGCCACCACAACTGGCTTGTTTATTTTTGAGACAGGGTCTTACCATCTCACCTTGCCTGGCCTGTCCGCAATCACAGAAATGCCCTGTCTCTGCCTCCCGAGTGCTGGGATGAAAGACATGTTCCACCATGGCAGGCAGTCTCTTATTTTTTAAGTAGAGATCAGTTAGATACCAAACAACCTCAGTGACTGTATCCACATCATCTGCCACAATGCTTGTGCTCAGAGCATCTGGAATTTACAGACTTTCAGTAACACTCCACAAGGCAGTGAAGGAAGACCAAGCACTTTAGGGAGGGCTGGAGTGAGCAGTGCTGGGCCGGAATTCACAGGTACTCACTGGGAGCTACAGGTGGGCCTTTTTGCCTGGGCAAATGCTTCCCTCTCAGGCTGAGTGAACACCATGAACTTTTCTCTCCCCACTTGAGGAGCTACTGGCTATCTCTCCTGGTTTCTCTCATTTCTTTGATGTCTATTTCTAATGATGAGATTTCTGATCATTGCTAGATGATAGAAGATTACAAAAAAAGACTGAAAAACATTAAGAAATATCATAAAACGTACCTAAAACGTTAGCTCTCTCTAAAACTGCCTGCTTTCACCATGTGAGGGTTAGGCTTTACAGTGGTCTCTTTGGCCAGTGCCACTCTCGTGCCATGAGGGTGCCCCATTTTGCTTTATAATAAACTCTTCCATACACATACAAAAGATGAAATTTAAAAGATTGTTCAGGTTGGGTGGTGGTTCATGCTTTTAATCTCAACACTCTGTCTGGGGGCGGGGGTTATTCAGGATTTTTATTTATTTATTTATTTTTGGAACGGGGTTTCAAGACAGGGTTTCTCTGTGTTGCCCGGGCTTTCCTGGAAATCACTCTGTAGACCATGCTGGCCTTGAACTCTATTTCCTGAGTGCTGGAATTAAAGGAGTGCACCACCACCCAGCTCAGGAATTGATTATCTTAGGGGCACTGGGATTGTAGTTTAGTGACGGGGTCCTTGCTTGACAACAAGATTCACTGCCGGGGACTAGAGAGATGGCTCAGCGGTTAAGAACTCTGACTGTTCTTCCAGAGGACCCGGGTTCAGTTCCCACATGGCAGCTCACAATTGTCTGAAAATCCAGTTCCAGGGGATCTGACACCTTCACAACAATTCACATAAAGTTAAATAAATCATAAAAAAAAAATTATTCTTAAAAAAAAAGAAGCCGGGCGGTGGTGGCGCACGCCTTTAATCCCAGCACTCGGGAGGCAGAGGCAGGTGGATCTCTGTGAGTTCGAGACCAGCCTGGTCTACAAGAGCTAGTTCCAGGACAGGCTCCAAAACCACAGGGAAACCCTGTCTCGAAAAACCAAAAAAAAAACAAAACAAAACAAAAAAAAAAGATACACTGCCCAATACAAAAAAACAAGACAACGCCTTTAATCCCAGCACTTGGGAGGCAGAGGCAGGCGGATCTTTGTGAGTTCGAGACCAGCCTGGTCTACAAGAGCTAGTTCCAGGACAGGCTCCAAAACCACAGAGAAACCCTGTCTCAAAAAACCAAAAAAAAAAAAAAAAAGACAAAAAGCAACCTTCTTTACATTGGAGTCTCTTCTGAGCAGTTCTTTACAGAACGGGAAAGTCCTTTTGGGGGCTTTCAGAATTATTAGCCAGCCTCCCCACTATTAGGAAAAGTCGTTTAGCTATTTGTCAAAGTCCCTGTTGTGGCCCAAGTAAAACAAATTCCTCAGTGGTCATTCACATTCCAGAGGCCCTCCAGACCGGGACTGTCCATTGGACAGCCCTATTTGCAGTGATGGAAATCCCAGGTAGATGGCCAAGCTAGTTGTAGCCCTGTGTGGTTACGAAGCGTGTGAAACTTGGCTGGGGAGGTTGAGGGGGATGGGCTTTTTTTTTTTTTTTTTTGAGGCAGGGTTTCTCTGTAGCTTTGAAGCCTGTCCTGGAACTCACTCTGTAGACATGGCTGACCTCGAACTCACAGAGATTCACCTGCCTCTCTCTCCCGGACATGCACCACCACCTCCCAGCTACTTTATTTTAATTAAATCTGAAGGGTTCCATGTGGCTGTAATGGCTGTTCTTTTAAGGCATCCAGGAATCTAGAGAACAGTGCTGTAAAGAGGGTTGGTGGGTGGCTGTCCACTTTGGATTTGTTCATAGACGACACAGGTTAAGGAGAATAATGAGCTAGCAGCCCACCATTTTCCTTTTAGATGGAAACGTATAGGCTTCTCTAAATATCCCCGAAGTGGTTTTTTTGTGTGTGTGTTTTAGTATTTTGTGTGTGTGTTTTTTCCCTGAGTATCTTGTGTATATCTTGTGTACTGTGTGCATGCTTGGTGCCCAAGGAGGTTGGAAGAGGACATCAGAGCCCCTGGAACTAGAGATGGTTGTGAGCTGCCATGTGGGTGCTGGGACTTGAACCAGGTCTTCTGGAAGAACAGCCAGTGAGTGTTCTTAACCACTGAGCCATCTTTTCTGTGCACCCCCCCACAAGTGTTTTATGTGGAATAATGGTAAAGAGCCACATAGATGATTTTAACACCTATTGGGCGATTGTTTGTTGTCTGGTTGGATGTTTTTTTTTGGGGGGGGGGGGCTAATTTGTCTCAGCGTTGTGAGTGTCCAAATTACAGGCATGGGTCACCATGCCAGGCATTATTTCTCGTACTTTAACGTACTCCTGGATCCTCACCTTTTTCCCAAACACTAGACCTTCGAGACCCCAGGAGCACGTGAAGACATGAAGAACACAAGCACAGTAGCGAATGTGTGAGCAGGCACACCTCTAAGATCCTTCACCTCTCCTGCGTTGTAGTGTGTATTAACTTGTGTTCACTTATTGTATGTGTGGGTATGCATGCTATGGCGCTCAGAGGAGTTTACCAGAGAGCTAGTTCTGATGAATTGTCACAGGTAATAGTGAGTGGAGAAGCTCAGCATGGGATTGACAGGGTTTGTCCTTTCAAGGAGAAAGCCAGCCCAGGAGGAGATGACCTCCTGATGCTCCAGCCAGAGTCATGCCAGCAAGGTGTGCCCCCATGTATTTGTCTACCTATTGGGTGTGTGGCACTGTTCTCTGCCACAAGCGAGGTAGAATGTCTGGCTCTACTCCAGGCCAAAGGCCAGGCCCCTACATTGTCTTTACAGTCACGGTGAGGCTCTTCTATGCACTACCATTCAGCCTTAGGAAAAAGAAAGGAGCATCCGGGTACTGGCAAGGTTTCAGAGTAAATGAAGTGACTGCGGAGATCATTGTACTGCACAGAAGTGGCACTCTGTTGAATGTTCCAGAACTTTTGGGGCTAAATAGCACATTGCTAATAGTAGATACTTCCACTAAGTTGAGGCAGCAAAGACTTTCTTTTCAGGTTATTTTGTTCCATTAATTCTACACTGAATTTAAATCTTCTAATAGAAAGACACATTGTATGTATGTGTGTATATATCCCAAGTCTTTCTCTTCTCTCCCTGAAGCATGCCTATGGCTAACATGAATTTAGAAATCCTGCCTGTGTCCTTCCAGCTCTTCTGGGTTCAGCCCAGTCTGTGGTTCCCACCAGGTGCCATCACAACACTTAGCACAGTGAGTGTATCGCAGTGTGTATATTAGGCTAGCTTGGGAACACCTTGAAGCAAGGGCCATATTGAGAACACAGTGCATGGTGTCATAGACCTTCGCCTCCAGTACACTGAGCTGTTTATAATGCACTTATGCATTCTTACACACTGAGGACCCAGGGTAACTTGTGGGCCTACACTGTGATACCAGAACTCACTGTTCCTAAGAAGAGGGTGTGTCCACATAAGGGGGCTAATGAGAGAAAGGCAGTGGTACACACACCTTTCTCTTTTAGTACAGCTAACCTGGAAGTCTGTGTACAGCAAGCTCTCAAAGCCTGATGAGGACGCAAGCCTTGAGCCAAACAGAAAGCCCCAACAGTGTTAATTCTGTGGCTTTAGTCAAGTCATTAAGCCTCCTGGAACTCATTTGTCCCTTTGCTTGGAGATAGTATATACAGGCCAGGAGCTAGTACAGCAGGTAACAACACTTGCTGCTAAGTCCAACACCTGAGCTGAATCCCCGAGGCCTATGTGGTTGAGGGAGCCAACTCACACAAGATGTCCTCTGAGCACCATAGCATTGCCCACACATACAGTAAGTGAACACAAGTTAATACACACTACAGACCAGGGAGAGGTGAAGGATCTTAGAGGTGTGTCTGCTCACACATTCGCTACTGTGCTTGTGTTCTACATGTCTTCACGTGCTCCTGGGGATCCAAAGGTTTGGGAAAAAGAAGAGGATAGGGGCCCATCTGTTTCATAGAGGTGCCCTTCCTGTTCCTTTGAGCTGTTTTTCCCTATCTTCTCACTGACCTGTCCCTACCGTTTAGGTCTTCAGTGTTGGGTGACACTCCCCTTGAGTCTGACAAGCTGGACTGACCTCTGCCTCCACAGTGTGTGAACCAGGACCTGGAAGTCTCACAAATCAGAATCAAGATCTTGTTTAAATTTTGAACTGTAAATAAAGGATTTTTTTTTAATGTTGGTGTTTGTGTTGCTCACTTATAAAGTCAAGCAACGCCAATGTTTATTCAAATAGGAAAGTTTAATTAGGTTTAAATGAAAAGCCCCTAGAGCGGGATACTTTAGTCCCAGCACCTAGGAAGCATAGGCAGGCCTGTGAGTTTAAAGCTTGCCTGATATAGTTAGTTCCAGGCCAGCCAAGGCCACATCCCTGTCTCAAAGAACAGCAGACGAGCAGTAAATCTCTACAGAATCGCTTTATCAGGAGAATGAGTGGAAAGGAATGTGGGGTGGAGAAAAGGTAAGGAAACCCAGAGTATCAGAAAAAGCAAAAGCATGCTTAGGTCTGCATCCAAAAGAGACAGGGAAGGTTGTGCCTGAGTCAGGGTAGGTCAGGTGGGCAAACGAGCCAGACCTCGCTGAAGTTGGTGTGTGGTTTTAAGTGGCAGTAGGGACAGTCCTGTCTTCTCGCCTCTGTGCTTCAGCTAGGACTGGCTCTCCTCAGAGGCCAGCATGGAGAAGAGCAAAGTGCCGTGTGGATTGAAGCCTCCAACTTGGCAACAGTGAAATGCAGGCCTGTCCAGCAGTAGGTAGTCCAGGATATCCCAGCAGATTTGATTCCATTAGCTCTGGAGCCACTGGTCAAGGGGTCACTATCTCGGGATGTGTAGGGAGGAGACCTTCTGATAGAATGTGTCTTGAACTAGTAGGACGCATGTGGAGGAATCTTCACCAGGTCACTTTTGAACCCGGTTTCCTAATCTGTAAAACGAGGTGGCTGATAGGGGTGGTGAGGAGGAGGAGGAGGAGGAGGAGGGAGGCATTGTAATACCTCCCTGAGGCAGGAGAACTGCAGTAAATTCAAGGACAGTTTCCAGCACTCTAGAGACCCTGGGAGGTTAGGAGTAGGTGGGTGTGGTGGCACCTATAATCCCAGTCCTTGGGTAGGTGAAGGCCAAAGGAACCTCAAGGCCAACCTTGGCTGTGTGACTCCCTGTGTCTCAAAATACAAGCAGCCATACAGGACAGATAAATACCATGCCTTGGAAAATTTTGGAAAGGGAATAATCCAACATGGAAAGATTCCACTTCCTATGGATTATAACGTGAGGATGAGAAAGTTACTATGAACCGAGCGTGGTGGTACATGCCTTTAATCCCACACTCAGAGACAGGCTCAGCTCTGAATTCAAGGCTGGTTTACACAGTTCCAGGATAACCAGGACTATGTAGCAAGACCCTGTCTCTCTCTCTCTCTCTCTCTCTCTCTCTCTCTCTCTCTCACACACATATACACACACACACACACACACACACAAGAAAGGTCTTCGGATACAACTTTCATGAGGCATTTAATGTGTTCATTTAGCAAGACCCTGTCTTAAACATACACACACAAGAAAGTTCCTCTGTGGGGTGAGGGGAACGCTCCTCCATTGCTGGTGGAAGTGCAAACTTGTACAGCAGCTTTAGAAATCAGTATGGCAATTTCTTAGAAAATTAGGAAACAAGCCGGGCGGTGGTGGCGCACGCCTTTAATCCCAGCACTTGGGAGGCAGAGGCAGGCAGATCTCTGTGAGTTCGAGACCAGCCTGGTCTACAAGAGCTAGTTCCAGGACAGGCTCCAAAACCACAGAGAAACCCTGTCTCGAAAAACCAAAAAAAAAAAGAAAAGAAAGAAAATTAGGAAACAATCTACCTCAAGACTCAGTAATACTGCCGTTGGGTATATACCCAAAGGACACTCAATCATATCACAATGACGTCCTCAACTATGTTCATAGCAGTATTATTTGTAATAGCCAGAACATGGAAACAATTTAGATGTCCCTCAACTAAAGAATGAATCCAGAAAAATGTACATTTACACAATGGAGTACTACACAGCAGCAAAAAATAAAGACATCATTGAAATTTGCATGCAAAAGGATGGATCTAGGCAAAAAGCGTTGAGTGAGGTAACAAGTATAATATATACTCACTCATAAGTGACTTCTAGACATAAAGCAAAGGAAAAAAAAACGAACCTACCGTCTACAACAACTCCAGACAACCCTGACAACAAAGAGGACCCTAGACATACATGGATCTACATAGATAGGAAGGAGAAAAAGACAAGATCTCCTGAGTAAATTGGGAGCATGGAGGCCATGGGAGAGGGTAGAAGGGAAGGGGGAGGAAGGGAGAACAGCAGAGAAAAACGTATAGCTCAATAAAAACAACAAAAAAGAAAGTTCCTGTGATACAACTTTCGTGAAGCATTTAATGTGTCCCTTTAGCAAGACTCTGCCTCAAACACACACAAACACACAAGAAAGTTCCTCTGATGTAATAATGTTCATGAGGCATGTACTATGTCCATTTCTATATTTTGGGGGGACAGAGTCTGCCATGTAGCTGTGTGTAGCTTGGAACTCACTGTGTAGACTAAGATGGGGTCTTCCAACCTCTTCCCCCTACTTGCTGGGATTACAGCCACGTGCCACCACACCTATCCATTCCCATTTCTCCCATCTCATGAGAGATTCCTCAACTCTACGGGCAGACGAAACAGTCAAACGCCTTAACAGAACTTGCCCTAAGTCCTCTAGCTATGTAAACAGACTTCAGATGATATATTAAAAAAAAAAACCAAACCAAAACCTCATGCTAAGCAGAGGTCTGTAAGTAACCGAACAGGGCGGAGCTATCAAGAGATGGAGAGAGGGAACAGCTGTGCCGTAACCCAGCATCTTTGTGATCGAGTGCAGCTGAGTTCACTGACACCTGGCACTGCTGCCATGCCATCTCTGCCGCTGTGCCAGTCTCTGCTGAAGCTGTAAGAGGAGTAAGATGTGGCCCATGCTTATGACAGGAGACAGGCAGTTTCTACTTGGGTGGCAAAGGCAGGAAATGTGGTCTGGTGTCTTTAGCTTTGACGAGTTTTTATTTGTTTCTTTAACTGTTGTGTCCCTAACACCTGGAAAAACTAAGCATCGACTATCTAGTAAGTGTTCAATCGGTATGTGTTACATAAATCAGATATTCAAGTAATGTAGAAAGTTGAGATGAAAGGAAAAGGTTAGATTTTTAAAAAAATAAATAAACAACAACCCCCACTTTAACAAGGAGAGGGATTTTCGGGCCTGGAGAGATGTCTCATCCAATAAAAGCCTTTCTGGACAAGTATGATGGTGTGAGTTCAGATCTCCAGCACACATCAAAGAGCCAGATGTGTTTGTAGTCCCAGTAGTTGAAGAGCAAGATAGGAAGCTGAAACTGGAGAATTCCAGAAAAGCTTGCCAGTCAGCAACCCTGAAATATTCAGCACAACAGCAGAACTTCTCTTGAGAGAAGCTGCCTCAAAGCATCAGGAAATCAAGGATTGACATCTGTGTCCCAAGACCCACACATACATAAACACATGCACACCATATATACAAAGATAGCAAAAATTTAAAGGCACCAGACACTTGGGAAACAGAAGCAAGTGGGTCTCTATGGAGGCCAACCTGGTATACATAGTTCCAGGTCAACTAGGAGTATAAATTCTGTCTCAAAAAAACCAACTTTTGCCCGGTGGTAGTGGTGGCATGGGCCTTTAATCCCAGCACTTGGGAGGCAGAGGCAGGTGAATCTCTGTGAGTTCATGGCCAGCCTGGTCTACAGAGCTAGTTCCAGGACAGGCACCAAAGCTACAGAGAAACCCAGTCTCAAAAAAATAAACAAACAAAAAACCAAAACAAACAACTTTTGAAAGCTTGAAAGAATTGATGTGTGATGTAAATGTTGTGTTGATTGAGAATAGGGAGGAGGGCCAGGATAAGTCAAAATGTGTTCCTAAACCAGAAACCAGAGCCTGTGAGGGATGGGGGACAAGGTGAGAGCTATTTTTTTGCAAAGGAGATTCCTGGGCTGTATCCCCTTGCATTGCTTAAATACAGGAATTAGAATTGTGTGAAAGGTGGTTCTTGGACAAATTGGCTGGTATAAACTCCAAAAGTAGTGGTGGTGGTGGTGGGTAACTAGCAGAAAGTAGAGATCCCCCACTTTGGGATAGGAAGTGAGTTTCAACAGAACCTTTCAACCTTAGGGTTCATCTTTGTTTTGTTTGTTTGTTTGTTTTTTTCCTGAGATAGTTTCTCTGTATAGCCCTGGCTATCCTGGAACTCACTCTGTAGACTAGGCTGGCCTCAAACTCAGTGATTCTCCTGCCTCAGCCTGCCAAGTGCTGGGATTAAAGACGTCTGCACCAGTGCATCTTAACATAGCATCTTCGTGTTTCACCAAAGCACGGAGCCCCCAAATGAGGAAGGAAGGACACCCCTAAACCATAAAGACAGATGTGACAGAATTGTCATTTTACCTCAATATACCATCTTTCCAAAGCAGTTAACACTCATTTATTTCTTTCCACATCTTTCGTATGTACATGTCATGCATAGGCAGGTTTTGGGGGTGTGTGTGTGGATACTCAGGAGGTTGTCCAGAATCCTTTGCTACTCCATCTTCTTCATGGAGACAGATTACCACAATTCAACCCAGAGCTGACTGATACAGCTAGAATGGCTAGGTAGCTTGTGTTGTTCTTTTTTTAAAAAATGGCTGCCGGTCCCAGAGCGGCGGCCCGAGTGGTGGTGGCGGGCCATGTGGCGGCAGATAGCGGGCCCTGGGAGCAGCCAGTCCCAGGCAGAGACAGCTGCTGGTCCCAGAGCAATGGTGGCAGGCCATGTAGCAGCAGGCAGTGGGCCCCAGGCAGAGTAGGCTGCTGGTCCCCGAGCAATGGCTGGTTCCAGGCAGGGAGATACATGGCGGGCGGGCAGAAGACAGAAACATGGATAGACACGACATGCAGGGTGAGGTTGAATGTTTATTCAGGGGGTTATGGAGGAGGAAGGGTGAAGGGGGGAACAGAGAGAGAGAGAGGGAGAGAGGGAGAGAAGAGGAGAAAGAGACAGAGAAGGGGGGAAGAGAGAAGTGGGGAGAGAGGCAGAAGCGAAGCTGCCTCTCCAAGAGGAAGATGGAAAAGAGAGCGAGC